ATGAAGGTTTTAATCATCATGTCCAAAAATGTGCCACTGAAGCATTCTCCTTGGTGAAAGCCAACATCAATGCTTTTATTCCACCATGGAAATACCAAGTGAAACCACGATCATCTTTGTTCTCACCGGAATGCTCGGCCGCTATAGCCGACAGGGATCACTTCTTCCGGCTGTACTAGAGTGACACGTCTGATTGCAACAGACGTCTGGCTGCTCGTAATGAGTGCAAGCGTATCCTCAATGAAGTGAAGTTACTGTTTGCTGATAGAGTGAAACAAGTTCGGTTCTATAGATTATTGGCGGCTTTGCAAGAGAGTGCTAAACAGTAGTAAATACTCAATGAATTTGAAGTTGTAACATCTATAGCAGATAAGGTGGAGTGCTTTGTTCGGAAGAGCTCTTCGAAATCTAAATTGACTCATCTGTAGTACTTATGCTTGATTTTCCCCCTAGAACGGAGGCTCTACTGAGTGATATGCGCATAACCCAGACATTTCCAAACTAAATTCCTACAAGGCAGAGGATGCGACGGTAATCCCTGATGTCCCCCGGAAGAAATGTTCTCCTGGGCCCTCTCTAGTTCTCGCCAAACGTTACAACAATTGCCTCTCTGCTTCTTACTTTCCAGCTTGTCAGAAATCCTCTTCTGTAATTCCCGTTTTTAAGAATTGTGGTGAATCCTCCGACACCTCAAATTATCGCCCATTTGTCTGCTACCGCTTTTCGGTAAAGTATACGATGCTCTAATCAACACTGAATTGGTTAGACATCTTGCTTCTCACGATCTCCTCAAGGACAAACAATATAGCTTCCGTTTCGCCAGGTCTACCGCTGATGTGCTAACGACCATCACTGAATTCGTATATCAAGTTCTACATAAGAACGGTGAACAGGGTTTGGCATGCTGGCCTTCTATCAAAGCTCCAGGGCTACGGTGTGACAGGACGAATAATTGGTTTAACCCAATCGTTCCTATCAAATAGTGGAATGATGATCGTTTTGAACAGGGTTGCTTCCAGACCCTTTCATACGAACACGGGGTCCCCCAGGCTCTATGCTGTGTCCTACGCTGTTTCTGATCATCAATGATCTCTCCGATGTTCCCGACTAGGTAATGCAAATGACATTACAATTTAATCCTGTTTCTGTATCGGACAAAGGGAACCTCTTGAAAGTGACTTCTAATCGGTGGTTAACTGGGGCAAGAAATGACCTGATTTTAAATCCTCCAAAATAAAACAGCTTCCATTTAACCACTACGGAAAATCTTTTCTGTCTGCCATCAGCATGGCTGATGCCAGAGTCCAGGGGAGTAACATAATACGCCTTCTTGGCTTCACGTTTTCCACTGATATGAACTGGAGTGACTATATCGAGTCAATAGCTGCATCTACTGCAAGGAAAGTTGGGTCAGTGTGTCATGCCAAAATTTTTTTTTTTGTCAGAATCCATCTTACACATTTATAAATCTTCCATTCACCAATGCATTGAATACTGTTGCCATATTTGGTCTGGTGTAGGTCCCACTCTCTTACTTTTGAAATAGTTAAATGCAACCTCCACTACTACTCCAACAGTTTCTTTACTCGCACTTCCCACCTGTGGAACTCCCTTTCATTTACTTACTTCCCTGATAACTACAGTCTTCAAAAATTTAAATGCAACGTCATTGCCCTCTGTCTTCTTGAACCCCGTTCATCTTTTGTCCTTTCCTCAATCATCACTATTCGCAGTTTTCTCTTTCATTCCCCGTAACTCCCTGCGCACTAGTGGCATCACCGCCTTGGTTGGGGTGAAACGATTTAAAAAAATCTTTCAAATCTCCCACTTAATAAGATTAAATTCTTAACTATCGTTCGCAAATAATTGGAATATCTAGATTTTAAATGACTGTTCATTACATGTTGATCCGTAGTTTGTTATTTAACTTCGGTCAACGTTTCAAATGTATGAGAAATGCGGACTCAAAAGACGTTGGTTTGCCTCTTAATTACTGTCTGAAAAGAATTGGCATTCTTTCAAGATTCGTTCAATTTCATGCTCGACGAAAAGAAAATAACCCGAGACAATTTAATTGGGGACAAGAATTAAGTTTAGAGATAAAAGGATCTTAGACTTAAGCGATAACAAGAGACTGAACTCTCTCACCACCCACACAAAGTGTACAAGTTATCTTGACAAAAGCACACACAGATACACACAGTGTGCAATTCGTCCCTACAAATGCACACACAGATACACACAGTGTGCAATTGTCCCTACAAATGCACACACAGATACAGTGTGCACCTGTCCCTACAAATGCACACACACAGATACACACAGTGTGCAATTGTCCCTACAAATGCACACACAGATACACACAGTGTGCAATTGTCCCTACAAATGCACACACAGATACACACAGTGTGCAGTCCCTACAAATGCTTGATACACACAGTGTGCAATTCGTCCCTACAAATGCACACACAGATACACACAGTGTGCAATTGTCCCTACAAATGCACACACAGATACACACAGTGTCGTCCCCAAAATGCACACACAGATACACACAGTGTGCAATTCGTCCCTACAAATGCACACACAGATACACACAGTGTGCAATTCGTCCCTACAAATGCACACACAGATACACACAGTGTGCAATTCGTCCCTACAAATGCACACACACACACACACACGGAATTGTAATGGTTAGCAAGCTTTTCTCGTCAGATCAATTAAATATGAATTTCGATTCAAAGTGGGCGCCCCCATAGTTTCGGCTTTAGGCCACATCTAAGCTACGCTTAGATAACTACCACCCATAGGGTGCAAGTGGACTCTAAGCACATGAACTACTGCATAGGAGTCCAATTGATAATTATTTTTATAAAAACATTATTTCTAAGCCAAAAATAACATTTTATTATTTTAAATGGATAATAGTTGAATTTCTTGAACTAATGAAAGAGAGGCAATAAACAATAACATGGAATGGTACAGAATAAAGGATGTTAAACAAAAACATTAGAAAATATTGCAAGCAAACGAAAGAGGAATGACATGTACCTCGATAAAATTTAAAAAAAAAACTACGCTTATAATAGAAAATATATTATAAAGATGAAATGAAAAATGTTTCCATGACAACAGGTGAGCAAAAGCTAGAATACAGAAGATGGATGGGCCTGTAATTTCAATATCTGAGCCAATATGAACAGAAATAAGGCAAAAGAAACAGATAAGACTGCAATACAGACACTCAGTATTAGACGATTTCGGAATCAGTATGGTTACCATAATAAATATATATAACAACGGCGAAATACCAGAAGGCCTCAATCAATCTATCTTCATTGCGATACCGAAAATGAATTCGGACTGCATCGATCAATCAGTTTCATGAGCCACATCTATGTGCCGTGCCCCTTCCGAACGTGGGTGGTTAGGCTCTCCACGACTTCCTATCCTTTGCAACTCTTAGTAAGTTTTGTCTCATCTCTCTCCTAATCCATGTTCTGCCAACCATTAGCATAAACTCGTTCAGTACGATATGCGCTGCTTTCCTTTGTCTATCTTGCCTTCAATGTGTTCTGTTAGTGCCAGATTCTCTAAGCCTACCTTCCTCATTATATTCCCTAGAAATTTCAATTATCCCTTTCTGATTCTACGTATATTTCCCCTAAGACTTCCTCGTTACTCGCATGTTCAAGCCATGATATTCTCAGCATCCTTCTATAGAACCGCAGTTGTTACCTCAAATTTCTTTATCTGAACAGATTGTGCCGCATTCATTGTCATATAGGAAAACTGATATTACATAACAGTATAGTGTTCTATTGCTGATTTCGAACGAAATTTGCCTAGCTGTGTGTGTATGTGTGGAGAGGCACCTTTCACTATTCCAATATGCCTTCGGGTTTTTGAGGTCGGATTTTTCGTCCTCTGCTAAAACACTTCGTCGATATTTAAATGCTTGTAATTGCTTGATTTTGGTGTTCCTATTCTGTTTTACAGTTAACGTTTAGTCCTTTCTTCTCACTTTCCTTTACTACCTCTTATAAGAGATCCTGTTGTTTTCATTCTGCATTTGTTATCAACACAGGGAAATCTGCCTATCCCATGTTACGTTGTCGCTGCCAGTAATAAATCCTGATAGAACATCTAATTCCATAGGCGCTTTGTTCCTAGTTCTGGATTATATCCTTTCCAAATAAATGAAGCTTACTTAGCAGTTCGAACAGTTCTTTGTGTTGTACTTTGTCAAAAGCATTTACATAATCTGTAAACCATAGATATATATCATTCTGCGTTTGTATTGATCTTTCTGATAATCATTTTGAGTATAAAGATTACATTTTTTGTTCCAGTGTCTTTAAAGAAAGTTCAGTGTTCTTGTACTATTTCTGATTTAATTCTGCTCTTAATCAGATATCGGATGATAAGTTTCAGTATGTGGTTCATTTGGCTGGTTGTCCGATTCTAATGAATAAAGCTTGGAGCAGATGCTTTGTTGAAGATACTCGAACAAGAAATGCAATTGTTATTATCAGAGCAACTAATAAAAGGTTAGGATTAGAAGAAAATTGACTTGTAATAAAAAAAAATGGTAGGTATACATACTTATGGGTTATATTGTATAAATGCACAGCAAAAGCTAGACATTCACTTAACCACAGAGCATCAAGATGTTCTACATGCATATCCGCACACACGCCCCAAATAGAATGTTTTTTAAATTTTTGAAATGAATAGATTCGTTTTTCTACGGTTTATCAACTCTCTGCAGGTTATTTAAGGACAGAAAACCTGTTTTAGATTGTAAGAATTTGCTTTGGAGATAATAATTTAGTGATACAATATAATAAACCCATATCTGGGGGAGGAAAGATGGATTCATATCTTTCCCAAGGATAATTGTACGTAAGTGAATATAACTAACCCAACAGTAATTGGAATTCAACTCTGATTAACAATTTAGAGCCATTACCCATTACATCAACCGCCCATTCAAGCTTACAGCAGGTGGTATTCCCAAAGCGGTCACCTATCTAGGTACTGACCAGGGTCGACGTTGCTTAACTCCGATGATCGTACGAGGATCGGTGTTTCAACGTGGTATAGCCGTAAGCCTTTACGAAATGAAAGATTAATTTATGCAACCAAAACTTTCTTTTGTACTAAATACAAGTGGGGGACATAGTAAGCGTGTCGATTCGAAAACAAGTTTCCGTCGTCGAAAGTTTTATACAAGTTTAATAAACATCGAACAGAATAATCGTGCCGAAGAAAAACATTTAAGTGAAAGCAATAATCGTACCATCAGACTTTATATATTATCTAGATTAAAAGGTAGTGAAGGAAAGCGTGAAGAAAGGACTAAACACTAATTACAAGACGACAGAATCCATAGCTGTTAGTAAAAAAAAAAAAAAAAAAGCCCAACATGCAAATTACAAATCGGAGATAAAGTCAAACAAAGTCTGTCTATTTCTGAGATGAGGTATTATGTACAGTATTTACATTAGTCGGACTATTGTCCTCATCTTTGTCGCCATATTTGTCGTTTCGGCCGTTGTACTCTCCGGCCTTCTTCAGGTGGTTGGAATTTCGAACTGAACCCTTTATTTCGATCACTGGGGTAGACTGTTCTAGTTCCACGTGCCATGTTTGATGGATGTCAGTTATCAGTTATCTCCTGCTAATTTTCCCTCTGAAAGTTCTCCACTGCCTTAACCAAGTATTGAACTCACCTTCTTTGGGTCTGTCACTGGATTTAACCAACGCCTTTATCCACTGTGCCATGTGTCCTTGAGGACACATGGCACAGTGAAAAGAGAAAATTAGCAGGAGATAACTGATAACTGACATCCATCAAAACATGGCACGTGGAACTAGAACAGTCTACCCCAGTGAGCGAAATAAAGGGTTCAGTTCGAAATTCCAACCACCTGAAGAAGGCCGGAGCGTAAAACGGCCGAAACGTTGTGACAAATATAGCGACAAAGATGAGAACAAAAGTCAAACAAGTACAAATATTTCAATCTGGAGGGGTGGTGTGTTTTAACAGAACAGAAAGTACGACACTGAAATTCGAAGGTGCATTGGGATTGCGAAAGGTGCTTTTCAAAACCTAAGTAGAATATTAAGAAACAAGAAAATTTCGTTAGAAACAAAGAAAAGAGTACTGAACTGTTACCTCCCGTATATATTCTTCTTTAAGGCAGCTTCATTTATAGTACGACATTTGATTTAAAATTTTTAACCACTTAGCGGGAAAAAAAAATTAACCGGTCACTAAAATGCATGAGTTTTAAACTAGTAAAAAAAAAAAAAAAAAAAATATCCTGTGTATAAAACCTTGCACAATACTTGTCCCCCTCTTCCTTGGCAGTAAGTGCATGGCAATCTCCTCACAGATGAAGAGACTAGAAGCATCAGTAATGTGGTTCTACAGAAGGATACTGAGAATATCATGGACCGAACTTATGAGCAACGACGAAGTTTTAGAGAAAATGGAAACAGAAAGGAAATTTATACTTACCATTAGAAAGAGACACGAAATTTCTAGGTTACATAATGAAGAGGGCTCGGAAAATTTGACACTCACAAGGCAAGAGAAAACAACGCATAACCTACCCAGTAGATGAATGGCGGGACAAGGTTTAGGAGAGATAACACAAAGAAAATGTATTAAAAGCTACAAAAGACAGGAAATTGTGGCGAGCCACGATCGCAACGTCCTGAAGAGACATGACACATAAAAGATTTTACAAGTAAACTAATGTACTACCAAGGAAGATTGTATTGAGCCAGTCTTTGCCACAATTTCTGTAATGAACAGAAATAAATACCTGTATTGAGCCAGTCTTCAATGCGAAGAAAAAGATACCATATGCATTTTTTTAAAACGACTGTAAAGAATTAAGCAATTCTCATCCATTAACCAGATCTCGGGTTGGCGAGGGGTCGAACGGGATAGCAAAAGGGGAACAGAGGAAGAGGCTTTGTATTTTTTTTTTTGTACGTTGCTGTCGCATTGCAGGGACATTTGATTTGACAAGCGACCACAAGGAAAACAGTGGTCCTGTCAATATTTGTCGGATTTATTTTTCAAAGTGGTCAGATATTAGATGGACACCGGTGTGCGTTGGGGAGCGATGGTAAAACCAGAAAACGCATTATCAACGACAGACGGTGGGGGCCTGTTTGTTGATCTAAATGTTAAGCTAACCCTGAACGACCTCGGAGACTGCTGACAAAATCCCTACCCTACAATATCCCATTTGAAGTCAGCTATTGACGGAATAGAAATGTTTTTCTTCCCTTGCATTTAAGGTCACTTAGGAAGGCTGCAGGGAGAAATATATATATAAAAACAAAAAAAAAAAAAAAAAACAAAAAAAAAAAACAAAAAAAAAAAAAAAAAACACAAGTAAACTTGAATTTCAGTTAATTAGGACATTAAATTTAAAACCATCTACCTGCCTGGCATCATAAATAATGAATTTTCACAGTTGGAAATAAACTTAAGTTAACCAAAATAAAATTTTATAACAATTAAGTTTTCATATAATTAGACGCTTGTCTAATGTTGATTATGAGTGTGTAATTAATAACTGTTTTTTTTAACGTTTTACTGGGTAGGTAATATAGAAAAAGAAGGATGCGTGGATCACTAATATCCTCCCGAACTAGATTAGCCATATCACCCCCACCAACCAAGTTTTGGCACCGCCCCCATTAAAAAAAAAAAAAGAAAAAAAAAAGCAATTTTCCGATTTCGAGTATTAATTTACTGAAAGAAAACGCCCCCGCCAATTCTAGTTATTACGGCTGTGAATCTATGCGATTTATGGAATTTTTTTTATTAATTGTTGACCCAATACAAGGCCCAAGAGTCACTCACGGTAGAGGGATATTGAATGAGGCGGCTGTATGAGCGTAAAAAGAAGTATGAAGTGCAGATTATGGAGATTTAAAAAAAAATCTCTTCATGCAAGGCAGTAAAGCCACTAAGACACAAGGGGTTCAGGTGTGTGAAAGAATAAGAAAAAAGTGAAACATTATTAAGGAGTTAGAAGAATAGAAGAGTAATCAAGTAGATAACGATTGACATTGCATCTAAATCTTTCAAGATCATTGTTGGCCGGAAGAGAGTTCCATAAGCGAGAAAAATTTTAGTAAGCCACATTTCAATTTTCAAATATTTTCTTGAATTTCATTGGTTGTTAAATATAAAATAAGCTTCGAGAAATTTCCATAACAAAACAGTCAAAATTTGTACAAAAGTAGGCTCAGCCGACGTAAAAAACATCTTTCTCAAATTCATCCCTAATTTAAATGTTTCAAGGAATCCTATTGGCTAAAAAAAAAAAAAAAAAAAAAAATCGCCCACGCATTTCTCAGTAAAATTCGCAACAGCTACGAAGCCCCGTTGAGTCGATTTGGTTTAAAAAAAAAAAAAAAAAAAAAAAAAAAAAGAAACGGCGAACGAATTTTCGTCGCATTTTAGATTCACACACGCAAAAGATATACACAGGAATTATGTATCTGAGAGACGCCAAAGAAACAAAGTTCCTTTATGAGAGATTAGAAAAATTTACAAACTTTTTCACTCAATATCTTTCACAGAAAAAAACTTTTGTCTAAGTTAAATTCAATCTTTTTAATCAAAAGCAGACAATCTTTTCGACAATGAACATTTCCATAACAGCAAAGAACTTTTTCTCTTTAATATGCTTTAGCAAACATCATTACAAACAAAGAAATTGTAAATTGTGTATATAAAATTTAATCTGTTGTTTCAAACAGGTATTTTTTATCTTGATTGAATATCGTTACCATTTGGCCATTTCTTATAATTTATGTTTGTGGATATTGTATATTTTATTTGCAGCACAATTTTAAATATTCACTCATTCTTCCTCGATCTACTACAAAACAGTTTGCATAGAACTTGTGGTTACATCTAGTCAATTCAACTGTAAATTGATGAAACTTTGTTGTCAATCTTGTACAGCGCTTAAATTCATAAAGTCTAACTACCATAGCAGAAAGTTAACCAGAACAATTACCATGAAAGTATTTATAGAAAAAAAGTACAGAGATTACATTACGCCGGTGGTAAAGAGATTGAAGCAGAGAAGCCAGAACAGGACCAATAATATTGCTAATTATTTGGATTTTATCGAGACTCTCTAAATATATATAATGAGAGCACCGAATCATATATAACAGTAATATTCAAAGCAAGGATAAACGGTGGACTTAAAAAAAAAAAAACATCTAAAATAGATTCTGAAGGTAAAAATTGTCAAGGACGTCAGTGAATCAACCATCTTGGTAGCAGACCTAACAATGGATTCAATATAATTTTTCCACTTCACTTCAGCCGAGAATGTTAGCCTGAGAAGACGCAACGGGTCACACACTTGAGGGTTAGCATCAGCCATGTTGATGAGAGACAGAAATAGGTCTCTCAGATGATTAATAGACAGAAGTTTTGTTTTGGCGGTGTTAAAATTAACAAGCCATTCACTGCCCCAGTTAACAGCAGATTGTAGGTCTTTTTTTTTTAGATCAGTTACTATCGAGATAGGAGTAAATGGTTGTGTCATCAGCATAGATACCAAGTTGAGTACTGATACCATCAGGAAGGTCATATATTGGAAAGAACTGTTAACCATCGTAGGTTAAAGATTGTAGTGTTCGGGAAAGCATCCTCTCGGGATTTAGGAAGAAGCTGGCCGAATGACTTCCTTCTTATCATTACAAAGGGAATGGGGATGACTCAACCCTGTGTACGTGGCATAACTCCTCTTGTTTCATTCATTTCCATTATCACCAGGAAAAAGAAGTCTTATTGCCAATCAATTTTACCTTAGCAACTCTAAACGGACATCCTAAATTTGGACCTCGAAACATTCCCCTGTTTGAGATGAGGCAAAGGGCTTTATTTTATGGGCAAAGCTAAATATATTGTTCACTCATATGAAGACATTTTAAAAATGTCTTATCGCCAAATTTCTAATGACATTTCCAAACAAATATTGGGATTTTTGTGCATCGGCTTTATTGCAGTGTTTAATAACACTTGTTCTATATATGACGATTTCGTACTGGCATGA